GTTCCCCCGGTCTGTGCCTCCCTCTGGGCACTCTGCCCCGGGTACCCTCAAACCCTCCCGGGTACCCCCAAGCTCTCCCCCGTTCTGTGCCTCCCTCTGGGAACTCTGCCCCGGGTACCCCCGCACCCTCCCGGCCTCTCCCGAGCTCTCCCCGTTCCCGGCCCAGCCGCCATCACCTCGGCCCCGCGCCCGTCCCGCCTCACACTTTCAAACCGCGCCCCGCCCCCGCGGATCCCTCCGCGTTCCCTCCCCTTTCTCCCATCCCCAGCCCCACCGCAGCCACCCCCAGGCCGGGCAGCACCGCAGGGAGGGCGGATCATGGGGGTGACCCCTCAGCGCTGCTCTGCCCCGGGGGTGCGCGGGGCTTGGCGGGGACAGCGGGGACTCTTTGGGCCGGCGGAGGGATCGCGGGCCGTTGAGTCACAGCACCGCTTGGGGGACGGGAGAGAGAAAAAAATAAAAGCGATTAAATGAATTCATTCAACGGCCCGCGCGCACGTGACGGGCCACAACCAATCACAGCGGGTTCATGCAAATATAGGCGCTTCTTCCAGCAGCGATTGGTTGCCGCCCTGGCTTTGCCCCGCCTCCTCGCTGCCCATTGGGTGGAGAGGCAGCGCCTCACGGCTCTGATTGGCCGTGGGGCCTGTCCGTCAGCGCCCGCCCCTTCCGGGTGTCGGCGCGGCGGCGGGCGCAGCATGAGGCGGGTGACGCTGTTCGTCAACGGCAGCGCCCGCAACGGGAAGGTGAGGCCGGGCCGGGGCCGGTCCCGCTCCCCGCGGGGCCCTGCCCGGCCCTGCCCTCCCCGCAGCCTCCCGGGACAGCCGGGCCTGCGCCCCGCGGTGCCGGAGGGGAGCGGGGCGCGGGGTCTCTCCTCGTTGCCTGTGGAGGGAATCGCGACAGGCGGGGATTTGTCGCGGGTGGAGGCGCTTGGTGGCTTTAGGGAGTCGCGTCCGGCTGCTCGTGTCAGGCACGGCTGTGGGATGAGGGCTCTGGGGGGAGAATGACCCTGTGGGGGTACTCTAGGAATAATCGCGTTTGATTGTTTAAAACCTCGCTAAAACCGTCTCAAGACTGAAAATAGTGATTTTTTTAGGCCCAAGCAGTGCTTGTCCAGCACAGGAAAAGCGCTGGGATGCAGTTCCACAGAGAGTCCGTGATGTTGGTGTTTCCATGCACATTTTGAGTGTAGACCTTGATGTGACTGTGCCTTCATGTGTAATTCTGTTAATTCTGTCCATGATGCCGCTATTTCCACCTGGAGTGCAGGAGTTAACGTGACTGCATTTCAGCCTTGCAGTTCTGCTGAATTGTGCCCGTGATCCTGATTTTCCCATCCAGTTCTGAGTGCAGACAGTTCACGTGCCTTTAATCCTTGGTTTTAGGGAGGGAAGTACATTTGGGAGAGGCTTGGAACAGAACAAGTAACAGTATTTCTTTAGAGAAATAAATAACTGAATTATATTCTTACAGCACCAACATTTATTCCCACACTGCTGTTACAGTGACTTTTGGTGGGAGCTGTGCAAAAGTCACCCTGTTTTTGTGTCCCAACACCAAAGTTGGTATTTCCCCTTGTTTCTTGGTCGAGATCCAAATGGATTTTGCTCCTCCTAATAACCCTGATAAATCTGAAGTGGCAGAACTTTTTTTGGAGCACGGGTTCACGGGTTTGTTTTTATTCACAGCCTCCTCCCTTGTCTCCTCCCCCAGGTCGTGGCTGTGTATGGGACTCTCTCAGATTTGCTCTCTGTGGCCAGCAACAAGCTTGGCATAAAAGCCACCAGCGTTTACAACGGCAAAGGGGGGCTCATCGATGATATTGCTTTGATTAGGTGAGGATCAGCCAAGAAAAGGCAAATCAAGGCTGAGGATTAAAATTCTGACCTGTTAATCCTCCTTAATCGACACCCAGTGCTTTCCCTAAAACCAGATGTGGTCATTTCCAGCCAGGATGCTCAAAGGTCCTTTTGTGTCTTTTGAACTTCAAACCATTTATTGATTCAGAACTTGGTACAAGCTGTGTTTGAGGCTTTCCCACCTCCTCCTGTGGTGATTCCAGGGCAATGTTTGTGCTGTGAAATCCCCACTGTTCCAGTCAGCCCTGGAATTGGGGGTGGTTTCTGTAAAGGAGACAAATTCTGTCACTGCTTTGGCCTCACAGAATAGAATATTTTGTAAGAATTAATTGATTACACAAGTGGTCCCTACCTGGCTGCAGATAGAATCTCTGGTGAAATCAGTCCATTCCAATCCTGTAGAACCTGCAAAATACAGATAAAAATCAGATCCAGAAGTTCCAGCTAATGGCCACTGGTCATAATTTATCTGAAAGTAATCAGGAGAGGTCCCACTGTCAATTAGATGAACAATAAATTATGATTAACCTTCTTTTTCTCTTCTCTCTGCTCCCTCCTGTCTCAGGGATGATGATGTTTTGTTTGTCTGTGAAGGGGAGCCCTTCATTGGTGAGTCTGTAATTCTTTTTATTTAATATATAATTTTAAAATTAATTTTGTAACTTTTAACTTAATCGAGTTGATTTTGCTTTCATAGAAACTTCAGATTTTATTTAGTGGTGTTTTCAGAAGATACCTCTTTGTAATGAAGGAATATTGACAATTTTTCCAACAATTCCTTTGTTTCTTCTCTGCCAGATCCTCAGACTGATGGGAGAGCTCAGGAGGAGCTGACAGGGTCCCACACGGACTGGCTGACTCTCAATGTGGGAGGCAGATATTTCACCACCACCCGGTAAAAAATGCTCTTCAAAAACTTCATTTCAATGAAACAAAAGACCTTAAAAAGTTTAACTTACTTTGACTCCCGCAGCTTTCTCTGTTTTTTGTATTTGCCACCACAGTTTTGCAAGAAATTGTTTCTTAAACATTTACAAGTGAAGGAAAAGTAAAGTTGGGCTGCTTTTGTTTTCTAGGAGCACTTTGGTTAACAAAGAACCTGACAGTATGTTGGCACACATGTTCAAAGACAAAGGTGAGTATATATTGAGATAAACTTTATTCAAAGTAATAAATGAGCAAAGTAGGTAAAAGTCACTGTCAAGCTGAGGTTTTTGTTCATAAAGTAAAATATCCAAAGTATGTTAAAGTACCAGAGCAGAACAGAGAATTATTTTTTAATAACTTTATTTCTCCCTGTTTATCATTTCACCACCTAATATTGATCATCTCACAAGCTGCAAATACAGCTCCCATCCATTGTGAATAGTTTGAGTCCTTCTTTTTTTGTTTATTTGATTTGAGGTTTTCATCTTATTACATCTTCCTCAGTTTTATCAGCAGAGCCAATGAACAAAACTCTGCACGAGGCAGAGACAATCAGACTAAAATTTCAGTGCTGCTTTTATCCTAGCCATGATTCTTCCTTATGTGGTAAAAATTCAGTTATTCAGAGCAGGAACAAGTTCATTTTAAGCTGATATTTCCCCCCCTCCACTCCTCTTTTCCTTCCTTCTTTCTCCGAACCGCCCTTGCAAGTGGAATGTTTGCTATTCCCTTTGGTAATAAAAAAAAAAAAAAACCCTCTGAAAACTGAAGCAAATGCTCTTCTATCACTACATCAAAAGTAATTTTATATATATATATGTTGTGGAAACAGATGCTTGGGGGAATAAACAAGATCCTAGAGGAGCTTTCCTCATTGACCGCAGTCCTGAGTATTTTGAGCCCATTTTGAACTATTTGCGTCACGGACAGCTCATTGTAAATGATGGCATTAATTTGCTAGGTAGGTATTACCTGTCTGACATCTCCTAAATTATTCCTCCTTGGAATTATAGCTTTGCCCTCAGGTGCCTGTGGTGAAGCCAGGGAGGAGCTTTGTGTGCTCATCCCCGTGGTTGGGAGTTTTCTTTTGGTGGATTTATTCTCAGCAGTGCAGCTCCATGTGCTTGCTCTAATGAGGATAGGCTGGTTATTTCTCTTTGGAGCATTAAAAATCCATACTGGATTAATAATCTGCAATTCTGGATCTTTATCTCTTTAACCTAATGCTGGTGTTGGAAATGTTGTGTCTGAGTTATGTTTTTCCTTTTAGCTGCAAGCAAACTTTTCCTCTGTGCCCAGTTACATCCAGTAGAATGTGTGTGTGTTCTCCAGTAAGGGGAGAGAAGGGTTCTGCTCCCTGCACCAGCAATGCCCTGCAATAACCAGCACTGCTTTGTTTGTAGGGGTTTTGGAAGAAGCCAGGTTTTTTGGGATCGACTCCCTCATTGAACACCTGGAAATTGCTATTAAGGTACCTTGCTGTGTGTGACCCCTGGATGGCCGTGCTGCTGGCCCAGGGAGTGTGTCACTGACTCAGTGCTGTCCCTGTCAATTCCTGTCCCCAGAATTCCCAGCCAGCTGAGGATCACTCTCCCATCTCTCGGAAGGAATTTGTCCGATTCCTGCTGGCCACGCCCACCAAGTCGGAGCTGCGCTGTCAGGTCAGGGAGCTCAGCCTTTCCTTCCCAAATAAAACTCCAGGAATTGCTTCCTAACCCCTGATCAAACCCTGCCCTCTCACAGTTTTAAGGAAATATCCAAATCTTGAGAGCTTTGCATTTCCATTTCGTGGTGTTATGTGGTAGAAGAACTGATTTTGTAAGTGTATGTTTATATAGAACCATGGAATGCTTTGGGGCTGGAAGGGACCTTAAGAATGATCTTGTTCCAATCTGCCATGGCAGGGACACTTTCCACTGTCCCAGGCTGCTCCAACCTGGCCTTGGACACTTCCAGGGATCCAGGCACAGCCACAGCTCCTCTGGGAATTCCATCCCAGCCCCTCTCAACCCTCACAGGGAAGGAATTCATCCTAATATAAACCCAAATTATGTATTTCTTCCCAACCTAAACTTCCTCTCTTGTCAGTTTAAACCCATTCCCCCTTGTCCCTGTCACTCCAGGTCCTTCCCAATATCTTTTATAAACCTCCAAGTCCATATAAAAATCCTCTCCCCTCTTTGTATCAGCCCCTTTAATGTACTGGAAATGTTTCAGTCCATTTATTTATCTGTACAGATTTATATACACAACTACCCAGCCGTGTCTCTTTGAATTTCTTTTTGTGTCCAGACCTCCCCTTTCCCATCTGTGACCATTTTGGGGGGGATGTTCACTGTTTTTTTTTCCAGGGTCTGAATTTTAGTGGAGCCGACCTTTCCCGCCTGGATCTTCGTTACATCAACTTCAAGATGGCAAATCTGAGCCGCTGCAACCTGGCCCATGCCAACCTGTGCTGTGCCAACCTGGAGAGAGCTGACCTGTCTGGATCCGTGCTGGATGTAAGGATGCTGCACTCTCAAGGATGCAGTTCTCTCAAGAAACAAGAATTGGAATTAAATTAAAAAAAAAAAAAATGAGTTTCCCAATGTTTTCTGGGATTGTTCCACTCCCAGTGCTTCCAAACTTCCTCACAGTGACAGGGGGGGTTCAGTTGTGTTGCAGAATTTAAATCTGTGTTCTGCTGGTTTTTGGTTTTTCATCTTCACTCCATCCTGTCTCTGCCAGTGTGCCAACCTGCAGGGGGTGAAGATGTTGTGTTCCAATGCAGAGGGAGCATCCCTGAAAGGCTGCAACTTCGAAGATCCATCAGGCCTTAAAGCTAATTTGGAAGGTGAGTTTTTGTCTGTTAATTATGCCCTGGAAACAGCCCTGTGCCTGCACATTCATGTGGCAAAAGTTCAGCTGTGTTTGTACAGTCCATGGAAGAACCCACAACTCTGGGCTGGTTCTGCCAAATAATCATGAAATTCCCAGCTCTGCCTTGAGCTCTCCCAGTTTACCCAGCTCTTGGAAAGCATCTCCTGGAGCTGCAGGATTTCTGGCTGATTCCTCTCCTGGAGCTGCAGGATTTCTGGCTGATTCTCTCCTGGAGCTGCAGGATTTCTGGCTGAT